GGCAGAGCTGCAAGATTCTCAGGCAGCAGCTGCACTCACCAACTAGGTGTGGTCCAGGGACCAATCACAGTCTCCATGTGGTCCCTAAGCTCCCGGGGAGCTGCGCACACGCGCGCTCCCAGGCCAGGCGGGGCAATGGTAACTCTGCCCACCCGCTCTGCCTGTCACCACTGCCCACAGCGCTCCCAGGTGCCTGCAAGCTCTGACTTAGATGGGCCAAGCCAGCGGCACACCAGGGAGTATTTCATGCCCCTTCTTGTCTGCTTTTCTAAACACTTCGGGTGGGATATACTCCAAATCCTTTTCTAACACTCACATGGAGAGCAATCCCATCCTATTCTCAGAGTCAAAGAACCGCCGTACAAACAACATTCACTATGACAGCCAGCTAAGCAAAAGTTGTCTTAAAAAAAACATGCAATGTGAGCATGCGTATGTGTGAGAAACAGGCACTGAGAACCAAGAGCTGAGTGCTTGGTTCCAAGTCACAGAGCTGAGCAGGTTAGAGGCTCATCATATAGGCACCTTCGCAAGGTGCCCACTTGCAATTTCAAGTCCTCCAACCGCGAGGCTACAAGAGCCAGTTCTGGCTGCAGCAAATACACAGCGGACCCTTCTCCAATGCAAGAGTGAAAGAAAATAAACTTGATGCTGCTGCTGGTTATTTTGACTTTTGTACTAGTTTGTAGTTACCGTTTCTTTGACCTTAAAAAAAAAAAAAGCAGGCAGTGCACACACCAACCCTTTTGTCAACATCATCAGCCAGAAGCAAATGGCTCTTTAATTTGATCAGGATCTCTTATTATCAAATCATTGCTCTGGCCGCAGCTCAGCTAAAAACCAGAGCAGACCATTACCGTGCTCAGGAAGTCAGCAAGCAGTAATTGCTCCCCGAGAGAATTGGTCATCTGAAGGGCTTCTGTGCCCTGTGTAGTCCCAGGAAAGAAAGGATGTCTAAGATTATACCTTCATCCCACACCAAAGTAACGGATGAGAAGAAAGGCTATTAAAACACCTGATTCCGCAGGCATATCTTTCTTGTGAGTGAAGAATGATCCCAGAGATTTTGATTGAGAAGCTTTACAGTACAAACACTTAAATCTTTCTTTTTAATTTCATTGTGAAGCCACAAAACAAACTTTTTTCTTTGGAATTTACTTCTCATTTACCCATTTCACAGAGGCTAGTAAAAGAGATTCTTTCCACTTAAAAAAAAAAAACCACACAAACAAAAACAAACAAAAAAAACACCTGATTCCAGTCGTCTTGATAGCTTACACCCTTCGGATGATGTCTCGAGGCGGCAATATGTTCTAGCCTGTAGTCATCATCCAATTTTGGGTATTTTACAGCAATGGAGGAGCTGAAACTAAGAAACATGGCTTGAAGTTCATATGCATTCATTTAGAAATACAAGGATCTGAGAAATTTTACATTACTGCCGTTTTCTTCAACTGTTTACAAAAAGGCATCCTCCGTTCTCTGTAGCAGCCATCCTTAAACCCCATGGCAATGTAATACAGCAAGCCTGGGTCTAACCCACGGTCTGTTCACGATTCACGGTCTGAGACGCCACATTTCTACGCCTGCCATCTCTATCACAACCGCCCTTCCTGTCTGCAGACAGTTCACTCTGCTATTTAAAGCATTTCTTCTTGAATTCAACTCTGCTGACTACAAACACTTCCTCCTGGTGACAGGCAGGTCTTGAAATGCAACTGAGAACAACAGACAAATAGGCAAATCATGTACAATCGTAATCCATTTCCAGGGAGGGCAGAGCTAGAATGGACTGGGACTCGCATGGGATCTTCCCTTCCCAGTTCTCTCCAAGAATTCAATGTGCTGATTTTAATCCGCCTTTTTTTTTTTCCCTTTTAAATATATTTTTATTGATTTCAGAGGAGAGGGAGAGGGAGATAGAAACATCGGTGAGAATCATTAATTGGCTGCCTCCTGCACACTCCCCACTGGGGATTGGGCCCGCAACCTGGGCATGTGTCCCAACCAGGAATCAAACTGTGACCTCCTAGTTCACAGGTCGATGCTCAACCACTGACCCACACCAGCCAGGCTAATCTGCCTCCTTTTAACCATTACACTCTTGCTCCACAGTTAACTACAGTTCAAATACTTATTTCTCTGTTGGCAAAAATTCCAAAGTGTACAGTAAGACACAGAACAGTGCCTATGTAGACTTCTTTATCTATGCAGACTCCTGGTGTAGCAGAATTATCTACCCAATTAGACAAAAAGTCCAGACGTGATGTAAACAATCCCCCTGCTCCAGGAATAAATGTACCATTCACATACGCTTTTCTCAGTAAGGCCACACTCCTGTGAGACAAAGACTGCTTTAAGTATTAAATGAACTGACACAAAAGCGTATAAAATATATATCCACCACTTTCTATTTGCATACAAATGAAGCAATTCATGTTTTTAAGTCTTCTGTGGAATGCATTTGTAGGAGCTGACCTAACTATGCCCTGAGCAGGCAAGTCGAGAGCCACAAGTGAATGCAGACACATGAGACACAACCGAGTATCTGTTCATAGGACAAAGACCCCAGCCAAGGAGACTCAACTGGACTTGAATCCCCAGAAGCAAAAACACTGAGGGACAAAGGTGCATTTCACTCTCTAAGGCAGCCCAGGCTGACCACTGCTGGGGCTCGGAGGTATAAACTAATCTCCCTGGGATAACAAGGATCTGAGAAAGGATTTCTAACACAGGAATCCATTTCATTAAGACCATTTCCACATACTGAATGCCAATTAAATTAAACCCAGGACAAGCAAATCTTTTAATTTCTTGTTGTTGTTAATCCTCACCCGACGATAGTTTTTCCATTGATTTTTAGAGTGGGAAGGAGGAAGGGATGGAGAGAGGAAGAGAGAGAGGGAAGGAGAAGGAGAGAGACACATTGATTGGTTGTTTATCACATAAGCCCCAACCAAGGCTGGGGATCGAACCTGCAACCCAGGTATGTGCCCTTGACCGGGACTCAAGCCCTCGATCCTTTGGTACACAGACCAACACTCTAAGCACGTAAGAACACTTTCCACTTTTATTGTTATTTTTACCTGCTTGGTCCCATCTGTGCGGCTGCGTAGATTATCCATACCCACCTTCTTAATATACTTCCACGTCTCTAATGAAGACACTGAGCTGAGACCACAAAACACTGGTATGTCTTTAGGTTGTCTTCTTTCTTCAAGAAGTCAGGAACACAAAAGAGAAGCAGAAGGGAGAAAACAGCAAAATTCAAGAGGCTGACCCCAAAGTCAGTTTTGTGTTCCTGGGTGGTTATTCCTCTGTAGGGCTGTCCTTCCCTCCAGCAACTTCCTCAAAGGGGCAGTTTATGCTGCAGTTTGCTTGTCCAATCCGCTCTGAGCGTCCTACACAGGCTTTTCCATCAGAGACTCTATCCACGTGGCCCCGTTCATTAGCTTAGTGGTGGCAATGACGTATTCCGTGCCTCCATCTTCCAACTGAGAGAGAAAGCGCAGGGCAGCGACTTCGGCAAAGGTCACACCCCCGAGGAAAAATATCAGGGTGACTCGGTTTTCCCCCGGTTGACCTAAAATTGAAACATTTCAGAATTAAGAGTTATGTATTACTGGAGCTTTTCTTCCCACCTCTTAAAAACTGCATACTGCCCAGCTGGTGTGGTTCAGTGGTTGAGCTGAAGAGGCTACCGGTTCCATTCCCGGTCAGGGCACATGCCCTGGTTGTGGGCTCGATCTGAAGTAGGGGGCGTGCAGGAGGCAGCCAATCAATGTTGATGTTTCTCTCTCATTGATGTTTCTATCTATCCTCTCCCTTTCTCCCTCTCTAAAAAACAATAAAAACATATTTAAAAAACAAAACTGCATCATTCATAAGAAAAAGTCAAATGTGTCTTGGTTTGACAGTTCACTTGAAACTCAGACACACAATTTTGCTCTCAAATGTTTTTTCTAACTACTGAGATCCTCAACTCCACAGCTGAAAGCTGCTACCCCCGAGGGAATAATGGGTGCCCCTGCTTACAATATACATTAGCAACTAACAAAAGAGGTAGATTGGACTCTGACTCCCAAGGACTTTACAAATGTATTCTACAAAGCAACTGCATAATACATGAAAACCACACTAACAGCACATAACGATCTGTAGATCCCGGCTACAGACTCACGTTTCTTTTGCAGTCCCGTGGGCAATGGCTGCCGCTCTTCAAAGTGGGGCCCTGGGAGGATGCGCAGAACTTCCTCAATACTCCGCCAGCCTGGCCGGGAAAGCAGCTGGGCCAGACGCACACTGAGCGGGGCGTAGCCACTGTACACGTAGGATATGTCGGTGGGATTCTGTGCATAATCAAAGGGAAAAAAGCCTGTGGGTATAGAGACTCAGAGCCACCTAACCCAAAATTATTTCATTTGTCTTTGAAGGCAAAGCCACAAATAACCTTCCACATCTTAGCAGCCAGAAGCTCACTTTTGACTCACATTTTGAAAAGCCATGCAGAGCATCTCTAGGGACTGGAGATGAAAATTGTTACTTCATTTGGCAAGAAACTTTTTGGAGGGTAACTTGGCACTCTAGCTGGGTAACAATGTGCATAATCTTTGAACCCAGAAATTCTACTTTTAGGCATTTATCCTGCAGAGGGGCTGGCATACCAGGGGAGACCAGACCAAAGCACCAACAGTGACTGCAACACCATCTACAGATGGAAAAGACTGGGAACACCTCAATTACTAGCAATAGAAACCTGTTAAATTATAAAGATGGCATATATGTAGAACCACCTCATAACAATTACAAAGAACTTTAAAAAAACAAGGCAGGTTAGCTGGTGTGGCTCAGGGGTTGAGCGTCAACCTATGAACCAGGAGGTCACGGTTCGATTCCTGGTTAGGGCACATGCCCGGGTTGCAGGGTTGCGGGCTGGATCCCCAGTAGGGGGTGTGCAGAAGGCAGCCAATCAATGATTCCTTCTCATCATTGATATTTCTATCTCCCTTTCCATTCTTCTCTGAAATAAAAAAATATATATTAAAAAATATATATCTTTTGAGAGCAATTATGGTGGCAATTTGGTTGGTTTAATAGTAAATACTAGTATATTGTGCGGGTAAATTTGATTAAGGTCAAGATTTTTAAAAAACATGATTTCAGAAACCCGTGGACATAAAGTGTATATCTTGTATGACTTTTTCTGGCTAAGTTATAAAATTATGTTTTTTTCTTTCTCCACGTTAAGCAAAGGAGTATCTTTAAAACACAGGGCCTTATTTAAGAATGCCATGTTGGACTTTGGGGGTTGTTCTACCTTTCTATTAGAAGGGGAGTTCACTTTGACCATGACTCTCCGCTTCAATAGTAACTGCAGGTTTTAAGTGTGGGTTTATCTCTGTTCTTACCTCTGCCATCAGAAATGGTTCTTGTCCCGAAAGCTGTGGCTGCAACCTCTAGAAATGTAACAACCAACTTCCCATCCCCACGCTGCCCTTGTGTTCCTTTGCTTAGTGAAGGATTTTGTGTCAATACATGAGCTGGAAAGTTGGCTTATATCTTGTTTGTTTGTTTTCCCAGGGTTTCTCCTCTAGACTCAAACCATGAAACTATATCCCATAAGGAGTTTCTTTTCTTATTTACTGATTCCCTCTTCTCATTATGTGACTCACTGAACACAAAATTGTACCATCGCAGGACCTCAGAGAAATCTAGTTATTATTTTGCCTTGATGCAGATTAGCTTATAAATCATTCCGCAATGATGAATAGCCTTAGTCTTAGGCTCTCCTGAGAAATGCTGTTTGCCACTTCTCTTCACAAATGGTTACTGTATTTTTAATGTCTGTTTCATGTGATAAAAGACATACTGTATTTAAATCTAGTGAAATATGTTAGGATGTGGTAAGGGGTGGGATTTGATTTAGTTTTGTTATGAATTTACAGATATTATTTTATCAGGGTACTTTTTGCCTCTCAGAGACATCAAGAAATGCTTATTTCTAATTATCGCAAGTTATTATAACTATTATAATTGTTGTTATAGAAATAAACCTTTATTTAAATGTAAGCCCTGAAACATTGATTCTAATTAAAATGTAAGCAAAAACAGAAAGATAAATAAAGAGGCAGATCACAGGATGACCTTCAAGAGACAGTGGACACGATGAGTGGGGTGGGAGCAGCAGGTCAGAAAGGTGAAGAGAGCCAAACTAAAGTATCATTTACATTGTACAACACAGAAATTAAGTCTCTATATTGCAAATGGGGAAAAATAATCCAATTTTGCTGCAGATAGAGGAGACAGTCTAATTACTAGTTTCTGTTGCAAGAGGCAGCCTAACGAAACACCAAGAGAGAATATAAGAGAAAGAAGTTCAGGATGAGTGGAATCAACCATGCATGCAAAACGAAGTGCACCTGCTTCGGAGGTCACTGGTGTGCATCATCTACGTGAAAGGGTTTGTATAGCCACAGAACCTTTCTGGGAGGGTTAAAACGTGGGTTAGGGTTACAACAGCTGCCTTTGAGGGGAACCTGGGGTTAGATGTGGAAGGAACCTAACTTTACTGTCTGCCTTACTTTTGCCCAAGCTGACTTTTCACCGCACACGCTGGGTTCCTCCCAGATCCTCTCTGCCCTTCTTGGCTCTGAGCCCAGGAGGTAGACTGCGGGCTCTGCACCAACGCACGCCAAGTCCTCTGTTTGGGTTGGGCCAATGGGAGGCACCAGATAAGCACGGAGAGTGGGCAGCAGTGAGGTCAGGGTTTTTCCACACTGGCTTCCTCTCTGTGACTCAGCTGGAGGCTGGCTGTGTCGCTCGAGTAGAGGCCTGTCACCCCTCGTCTTGTCAGACGGCCCCTCCATTTAGCTCTTCTGACTGGCACAGGTTTCTGGACCAGCTCGCTCTCCTTGCCCTCAGGCCTTGCCTGGGAAGGGCTGCCCACTGCACTGCCTCTCACCGCCTCCGCTCCTCACTCCCTTTATGACACTCTCCTCAAACTACCCAGTGGAAGAGCACCCCGTTTCCTGCTGGGATTCTGACAGACATAACTCACAAATGCATTACTTTTTCACATTAGAGCACTGTGGTTCCCATAGACTGTTAACCAGTTACTGACTGAGCTGGCGTGAGAAGGGTGCCTTACTTGTTCATTGACGTCATCCATCCAGAGGCGTAGGGTTTTCCGGATTGTCGGGTAATTGTTCCTGCCCCCCATCTGTGGTTTCAGGAGGCCAGCCTTCTCCAGGTTGTGTAAGGTCAAAATGTGCTCATAGCCGTACGTCTGCAAGACAAGTCGTTCAGCCTGGATGTCAGATCAGGAAAAGGCTTCTGCCACTTTCATAAAAGAGCACCTCTGGTAAGTCGACCAGCTCTGTTGTCCAGGGCACAACACTGAGGTCCAGGTGATGACTGACCCCACGTGGGCACGGGGAAAGGACCTGTCCTAAAACTGCCTGTCCGTCACAATTAATCCAGCTCATTGTTTCCGAGAGGGATTTGATGTATTCAGAGTCAAAATTTATGGGCCCAACTTAAATGAGCAGATTTTGGAAGTCTTTTTTTTTTTTAAATTGTTTTCCCCCTTGGCAAATTAGTAATTTAAAAATATACTGACCTAGTCCGGCTGGTATGGCTCAGTGTTTGAGTGTCAACCTATGAACCAGGAGGTCACGGTTTGATTCCCAGTCAGGACACATGCCGGGTTGCGAGCTCAATCCCCAGTATGGGGAGTGCAGGAGGCAACTGATCAATGATTCTCTCATCACTGATGTTTCTATCTCTCTTACCCCCTCTCCCTTCCTCTCTGAAACCAATAAGAATATCTTAAAAAAGAAAAAAGCTTAGTGTGGATTCACCCATTATTTCAAATCAGTTAAACCTGAAAAGGAGTGAAAATTAAGTGAGCTATCAGCTGTTAAAGTGTGTATACATTTTTTTAGAACACTCCGTATATCAACAATATTGTTAGATGTAGCTCTAGCATATAATTGATTGAAAACACTTATGGAGTGGATATTGTGAGACAGTTTTTCATGCGCTTTCCAAATGTAAGCTTGACTTAAGAGACATGTCCGCTATTGTTTTCATTCTAGAGAAGGGAAAACTGAGAAAAGGAGACTGAAGAACTGGCCCAGGTCATATGACCAGTAAGTTATGGAACAGGGATTGGGATCCATTGTTGGGGATCTTAACTGTTCTTCTCTGGAGTGAAAAATACCTGGC